CAGTAGAGTCTATGTATAGTATAACATCGACCAATGGATGACAGTAGAGTATATGCATAGTATAACATCGACCAATGGCTACCAGTAGAGTCTATCTATAGTATAACATCAACCAACGGTTGACAGTAGAGTCTATGTATAGTATAACATCAACAATGGTTGACAGTGGAGTATATGTATAGTATAACATCAACCAATGGTTGACAGTAGAGGCTATGTATAGTATAACATCAACCAATGGTTGACAGTAGAGGCTATGTATAGTATAACATCAACCAATGGTTGACAGTAGAGTATATGTATAGTATAGCATCAACCAGTGGTTGACAGTAGAGTCTATCTATAGTATAACATCAACCAACGGTTGACAGTAGAGTCTATGTATAGTATAACATCAACCAATGGTTGACAGTAGAGTATATGTATAGTATAGCATCAATCAGTGGTTGACAGTAGAGTCTATCTATAGTATAACATCAACAATGGTTGACAGTAGAGTCTTTGCATAGGATAACATCGACCAATGGTTGACAGTAGAGTATATGCATAGTATAACATCAACAATGGCTGACAGTAGAGTCTATGTATAGTATAACATCGACCAATGGCTGACAATACACAATATGGTTTTTCCTATCTTTATCTTCATTAATTAGGTAAATGGTCGATGACTGTCGGGTAAAATGTTATCTTTTATTTTTGTCATCGTATCGAACTTTGAGCATATAAAGCAAGGAAGAATGTGAGATTGTTAATATTCTGACTTATGATTACAGTGTATAAAATATCAAATATCAACCTTGAAAGTCTTTTATACGTTATGTTAAAGATGCAAATCGGCGCATATCTACGTACTCTGTCTCTCTAACTCCTCAGACTAATCCTGGTTTTCTTGATTATGTTTCAAACGCCTTTTTGTTGTGAGGACAACTCTTAACGGTGACCAAACTAATTGTATCGCCAAAGGCAATATATTTAAGTCGTCATAGATCAATAAAATATATTACCTGTAACTGAGCAAGATTAATAGAATATCTCACCCCTTATAGGGGAATCTCAACCCGAGGGGGTCGGGGAAGAGATTCTTATGTTTGAACACTAAAGAATCTTTCCCCGAGGGTTGAGATTCCCATATCTTACCCACAAGGGGGTGAACGATTCTTTTTCTCTTACCCGGTTCTCCCAATGTGTATCTTATACACAATGTAATGATAACGTTACATGCTAAATTCAGGGTTGACGTTACGTTGATGGATTGTTGACGTGACGTCATTGTATTGTTGAAGTGACGTCATACCATTGTTATGAATAGGGGAATCCCCCCGTCTCAACCCTATGGTGAGAATAATAGAATCTATCACTCCTGTGTGATGTAGACAGAGATGTCTCAACCAGAGGGGGAGATATTTTTTTAGGTTTAGCACGAGGCTTTGCCGAGTGCTAAACCTTAAAAATATCTCATCCCGAGTGTTGCGATATCTCTGTCTACATCACAAAGGAGTGATTGATTATTTTTCTCCCATATTTTCATACCGTAAAAATACCTCAACAGCTAAGTTGTATTTTTGACCCCAATGCACCGTACTATACACACATAGCCGCTGTGCTGCAAATGTGTGTAAAAAATCCGCAACGTCAATAAAAAATAGCAGTCATAATTAAATTCAGACATTTAATACACTAGTAGTATTAGCAACGTTATATTGTATATTGACATTTTTTGTTTGTTATAAGATTAATCGATTTAGTGACTTTAACGAAAACACACAGAACTACTTGCACTCGCTGACTTCACGCTTCGAAAAGTTCACTCGGAGTCAGAATACAACACCCTCGGGCGTTTCATTTTGGGGGCTGACATCGGTAATATGTTAAATGCTCCTCCAGTGAATGCTGTGCCTTAAAATATACTCGGGATTTCACATTCATTGGATTTACGAACGCTTTCAGATTCGCACAAGGACATGCTGTTGTGCGCTGTAGTCACATGTGTAATGTTTGTTGACTGTTCGTTTGACATCGGCCGATGTGAGGTAGGTGCACTAGACCCAGTGTGTCGTCCGTTTGTACGGTTTCATTTGAGCGATTGGTCATTGAGAGAAGAGACGACACCCTATGTTTTTGTTTATTATTGACTGTTCTGTAATTGTTCAATACATGTGTGTAAAAAGTGATGATGTAATCACTTTTGCTAAAAGTGCCCAGGGTCACAGGTCATGTTGAAAGAAGTGCGTTGTATGTGACGTAATAGCGCGTGCCAGCTGTCTTTATCTCGCACGTAGATAAAATCTCGAGTCCAACTGCGGTGGCCTCTCGATTTTATCCACGTGCTCACGATGAGAATGAGAAAATTGTTCTCACGACAAACACTGAAAATACAGTTTGATTATCTATAATTATCACACAATGTTTTCAGGTTTGTCGTGAGAATTTTTTTTTTATTGGGAGCACGTGGATAAACTGGAGAGGCCACCGCATACTTACATGATACTGAATTTATCATGCATCCTGGTATTAGGTGGTGTATATATGATACTATTACTTATCTTTGACTACAGATCCCCCTGTAAATTTAAATTATTATATTCACAAGTAATAAAGTAAAAAGGAGGAGCAAAAAATGGTGTTTCTTTTTTTAATTTATAGGAAAAAAGGCAACAACAATCTTCCATGTTAAAATATTAATAAACAAATATGTAACTTTGGATTTGGTTAACAGGAGCCTAACACAACGGAGTTTAGCGAAACGAAAAGTTAGTTGACTAACAAAGTTGTCGCACGGTCTGAGGCTGCGCTGGTATAACACAGTCGAATATCTTATGCATTAGTTCAATAGCTAAAAGAAAAAATGAAAAAAATGCAATAATTGCCCTCATTGATCTGTTATTGTGTTGGTTCTCTATAACATTTTAATGGAGACTCAGTCCAGGCAAATGTTAGACATAACAGAGGGGAAACTATACAACAAACATTTGAAGTAAGAGTCACATGGTTACATCACTATTTGATGTCCAGAGATGCTTTGAAGTAAGAGTAGCATGGCTATATTACTATTTGAAGTAAGAGTTACATGGCTATATCACTATTTTAAGTAAGAGTAACATGGATATATCACTATTTTAAGTAAGAGTAACATGTCTACATCACTATTTGATGTCCAGAGATGCTTTGAAGTAAGAGTAACATGGCTACATCACTATTTGAAGTAAAGCTACATGGCTACATCACTATTTGAAGTAAGAACTACATGTCTACATCACTATTTGAAGTAAGAGTAACATGGCTATATCACTATTTGAAGTAAGTGTTACACTGTACATGGCTACATCACTATTTGATGTCCAGAGATGCTTTGAAGTAAGGGTTATATGGCTATATCACTATTTGAAGTAAGGGTCACATAGCTACATCACTATTTGATGTCTAGAGATTTTTTGAAGTAAGAGTTACATAGCTATATCACTATTTGAAGTAAAGCTACATGGCTATATCACTATTTGAAGTAAGAGTAACATGGCTATATCACTATTTGATGTCCAGGGATGTTGACGTAAGGGCCACATGGCTACATTACTATTTGATGTCCAGAGATGCTTTGAAGTAAAAGTAACATGGCTACATCACTATTTGATGTCCAGAGATGCGTTGAAGTAAGAGTAACATGGCTACATCACTATTTGATGGTCAGGGATGTTGACGTAAGGGCCACATGGCTACATCACTATTTGATGTCCAGAGATGCTTTGAAGTAAAAGTAACATGGCTTTATCACTATTTGATGTCCAGAAATGCTTAGAAGTAATTGTCACATGGCTATATCACTATTTGATGTCCAGAGATGCTTTGAAGTAAGGGTCACATGGCTATATCACTTTTTGATGTCCAGAGATGCTTTGAAGTAAAGGTAACTTGGCTATATCACTATTTGAAGTAAGGGTAACATGGTTACATCACTATTTGATGTCCAGAGATGCTTTGAAGTAAGAGTAACATGGCTACATTACTATTTGATGTCCAGAGATGCTTTGAAGTAAGGGTAACATGGCTACATCACTATTTGATGTCCAGATATGCTTTGAAGTAAGAGTAACATGGCTACATCACTATTTGAAGTAAGAGTAACATGGCTATATCACTATTTGAAGTAAGAGTTACATGGCTATATCACTATTTGAAGTAAGTGTTATATGGCTACATCACTATTTGATGTCCAGAGATGCTTTGCAGTAAGAGTAACATGGCTACATCACTATTTGATGTCCAGAGATGCTTTGAAGTAAGGGTCACATGGCTACATCACTATTTGATTTCCAGAGGTGCTTTGAAGTAAGTGTAACATGGCTATATCACTATTTGAAGTAAGAGTAACATGTCTATATCAATATTTGAAGGAAGAGTAACATGGCTATATCACTATTTGAAGTAAGAGTTACATGGCTACATCACTATTTGATGTCCAGAGATGCTTTGAAGTAAGGTTCACACGGCTATATCATTATTTGAAGTAAGGGTAACATGGTTACATCACTGTTTGATGTCCAGAGATGCTTTGAAGTAAGGGTTACATGGCTACATCACTATTTGATGTCCAGAGATGCTTTGAAGTAAGAGTTACATGGCTATATCACTATTTGAAATAAGGGTGACATGGATATATCACGATTTGATGTCCAGAGATGCTTTGAAGTAAGAGTTACATAGCTATATCATTATTTGATGTCCAGAGATGTTGGCGTAAGAGTAACATGGCTATATCACTATTTGATGTCCAGAGATGCTTTGAAGTAAGAGGTACATAGCTTTATCACTATTTGATGTCCAGAGATGTTGACGTAAGGGTAACATGGCTATATCACTATTTGATGTCCAGAGATGCTTTGAAGTCAGAGTCACATGGCTACATCACTATTTGAAGTAAGGGTAACATGGCTTTATTATGACGTTCTATCTGCCGTTTTCCAGAGAATCATTTTTCAAGATGTTCAAAATCTCAGTCAGCATCAAGTACTTTCACTGACAATCGTCCACAGGACACCAGTCCCATCTGATCTTAGGATCGGTGGTGTAGCACCAGGGCCGAGGTTCATTCTTATTTTTGCATCTGGCTCCAAGATCAGTCCGGCCTTTGAGGATAACGTGATGATGAGGAATCTGGGCGTCCCAGCGCTGACAAGGTATGCCTCCGACTGTACAATTGACTCGTCCCCGATAAAGATACCCATCGAAACAGTCATCGTCTGTCGAAAAGTCAAAATATGTAACATAAATTAGATAAAATCATGACTTGATCTCCCCCTATGACCTATATATGCCTACCATGATTAAAGTCTCTGATCGTTGGTGCCCTACATGGTTTCCTGTATTTGACGTAAGACATGCTGCCACGTATGGTAGAGAACACGTGCACACTCACTGTTAACGTCACGTATGTTACAGAACACGTGAACACTCATTATTACCCAATAGTCTATATAAATTATAATTAGTCATTTTTGACTGTTTCTGGACTTTTGTCCAATTTCGGCTGTAGGGGTGAAACAGTCAAAACTGTTTTCCCCGTCAGAGCGAACTATTACCCGGCGCGAATTCGATGCGCAGAAATCCCACCTCGAGAGTCCCGTTCAAGCGTTTCGGTGACCGCAACTCAGTGTTGAAGCAATGGCAAAATTGCATGCAGCATTGATACTAATATTTATTTGGTAATTAAACAATTGTTTCATGGTTAATTTGGGAACAGTCAAAACAATCATCCCTCGGGTGGGGAAAACCCTGTGGAACTGTTTGCCCTTGGCCTAGCCGCCTCGGGCAAACAGTTCCCCAGGGTTTCCCCCTACCTCGGGATGATAGTTTTGACTGTTCCCCAAATAGCCATGAAACAATTGCATTCTGTTTACGCCACATATGGTACAGAACACGTGATCACTCACTGTTAACGTCACGTATAGTCCAAAAACGTGTAAACTTATTGGTAACGCCCAATATGATACAGAAAACGTATATACTCACTGTTGACGTCACTTATGGTACAACACACAGTATATACTCACTGTTTACGCCACATATGGTACAGGACACGTACATTCTCACTGTTAACGCAACGTATGGTACAAAACATACTATATACTCACTGTTTACGCCACATATTGTACAGAACACGTACATTCTCACTGTTTACACAACGTATGGTACAAAACACAGTATATACTCACTGTTTACGCCACATATTGTACAGAACACGTACATTCTCACTGTTAACGCAACGTATGGTATAAAACACACTATATACTCACTGTTTACGCCACATATTGTACAGAACACGTACATTCTCACTGTT